GCATACTGCTTCCATTTGAAGAACTCAAACACAGTAGCATAGGCATATTTAAACTCAGCATAGCTTGGAGAGGTTCTAAAGAATAGTGGGTATTTGTCGCGATCTGCCAGTGCAACACCTTCCACACTGTATCCCATGATGATCGTATTGTACATAGGTGCAACTTCAGCAATTATCTCAGTTTGAACTGAGCAGGCCGGGCCTAAGATGCCCACTATGGATTTATTGTGCACCTGTGACATAAACTCGATGAATGCATTGAGAATGAGAGCTGTTTTGCACTGTGTGTCCTCTATGATGAGCTCCAAGCTGTAATTATTGAGAATCTTGTAATCTTGGTTGATTTCCTCTAGAGCCATCAATGCTCCTACAGCAAAGAACATGATAATTAATTTCTAATTGACCATATGAAATTAATGACATGTGTGTAAGGTTAACATGCCTTGTCCAAAGTAACCCGCAGTGCAGGCATTATCTTTTAATGCAATGCTCGATAGACCAAGTTTTAGATGGTGCCATCTTGGACTGTAATTGGATGCCTGACCGATACATGTTTGGGTTAGAGTAGGGGGAGAGGTTCATACTGATTTTTCTTGATTAATTTCATTTTTTATCATGATAATCATAATTAAGAACTAGTTTGTGATGTTGATTCAGGCCTCATTAAAGATCAATTTAGTTATCATTATGCACCGCTTGCAAAGTGGCCGCCAGTGCTGCCAGCTAGTTCTGGCTTATCTTTAATCATAACAAAACAAATTTTACCCTGCAGAATTCCAGGCCTGCTCCACACTGCATCCTCACTGACTGACAATGGAAACATCCCTCCAAGATAAACTGGCACCTTATTCAGACTCCCAGGAGGGAGCCATGACAACCAGATATCTCTAGTCTCGCGTACCCAGTCACAAGCAACTTCCTGGCTAGTCAAATTACCTCCACCATCCTTGTGTTTGTGAAAGAGTTCATTAAGTGTGTCTTTATCAAAGTGCATTTTTGACAGTAAGTAATACACATCAGGGGCATTGTCCTGAATTTTTCCCCAAGCAAATTTGCGCAAGTGGCTAGGGGGAAAATCACAGTTGTAATAATAATCCAGTTGAGATGTCATGGCTTTGATGAAGGACATAATGGCACTGAAAGAAATAATTGAAAAAGTCCTTTTATTAATAAAACCTTAAAATCAGCACTGTCTTAGGCATTGCACAAAGCTTGCTAGTTTTTTTTTGTTTTGTTTTGTTTTTTTTGTCTTGACTCCAGTGTCCACTTTCTTTTGGCTGCAACTGGCCAATTCCAATCTTTTGTGTTGCATGCATAGAGTGCTCATTTTTCATCGTCAAGCAATCAACCTTGATCTGAAACAACAGGAGGCCTTGACATTCTGGGCTCTTAAAGAATGAGATTTGCACAGCTTGTCCAAGGGTAATTTAATTTTGTGAGTTGAATGATTCACTTTTATAATCTCTAGATAGAACAACAGCATTCTCGTTGTTTATAATGGCCAGAAGATTCCTTTATAAACCATTTGAATTCAAGAGATGACACCACCTAAAGACTGTACATAGCTGGTGATATTTGATCTAAGAGTAGGGACAACATGCTGTGGGTTTATATACATGTACCAGTACATCTACATGAACAACATACACGTACATGCAGTGTGGGAAATTAGCAGTCGCACACTCGCCAATGTGAGTGTGAAAAGCGTTGCACAAGTGCAAATCATTGATCACTCACCCCTTTGGCGAGTACAATTTTCATTTTTGGGAAACAAGTTTGTAAGCTTAAATATTGATAACACTCCTTTTTATTCTCCATTATGGTATTAATTTCTCCTTCAAGAAACCCAAATAATTTGCCAATACAGAACATACTGTTTCAGTAATTCAAAATGAAATACGGCTTCCACCAGTGACAATTTACATAATGGTTACACATGTGTGAAGTGATTCTGCTGATCTCTATAATTTTTTGTCTCTAGTAATTAGTGCATGAGAATTGGAGATTTGCTTGCTAAGAAATGAATCTCACAAAGATTTATCTTGAAATAGCAACTACTTTCAATTGAAAGTTTTAGTACCTCAGTTGTAGTCATCTTTAGGTTTAAGGTCATTTAGTATAATTTTTCTTTGAAGGAAAAAAAGTCAGTATTTACTAGCCAACAAGTTGTTTCAAGCTCTAATGTCTCAATTCTAGTGATCTATGCAAATTCGGTGCCAGCTGTTCATTCAGCTGTTTTTCAGTTAAAACTATGGAAATGTGGGAAATTTTCCAAGATGTGTCAAAGAAAGATGATAAAAACATCGTAAACGGACCACAACAAAAC